AAGACAGATCAGACAATTTAAACTTATGCTCAATTCTCTACAATATTACCTATATTTTGGAAAAATGAATTCAGTGCTGATGCTCTGTCAAGAATTGAATCTATTTCAATGCCTATTATAGTTTCTTTAGAAGAACTTGCTAATTATCAGAAAGAAGATGAAGAACTTCAAGTTTTACTTTCTTCAAATTCTTCACTTCTGTGAAGAAACTTATTCTTTCAGGATCAACCATACCTATTTATTGTGATTGCTCTTCGGAATTAATTCGTCCATATGTTCCAAAACTCTTACGCAAGAGAATTTTGATGTTGTTCATGGACTCGCTCACCCCAGCGGCAGATTGACATCTAAACAATTACTACTGAATTCATTTGGCCTTCTTTGAAGAAAGATGTGAAGGAATGGACTCGAACTTGTCTTTCATGTCAACGTGCGAAGATTTCAAGACACACCAAGAATTCTCCAATTAAGATTGCAATTCCTGATCAACGCTTTCAGCATGTGCATTTAGACATTGTTGGACCACTTCCTATTGTCAAAATTACCGTTATTGTCTTACTATGATTGATCGTTTTTCCAGATGGCCTGAAGCTGTTCCTATTTCTGAGATTTCTGCTGAAACTGTTTCTACAACATTTTATTCACATTGGGTAGCACGTTTTGGTTCTCCTATCAGCATTACAACAGATCAAGGTCCTCAGTTTGAAGCAGCTTTATTCAAAGCTTTAACAAACCTAATTGGATGCCAAAGGATTAGAACTTCTGCTTATCATCCTGCTTCAAATGGAATTCTGGAAAGATGGCATAGGACTTTGAAAGCAGCGATTATGTGCCACGAAACAACCAACTGGGTAGAATCTTTACCTTTAGTTCTTTTGGGATTACGTTCGTGTTTCAAAGAAGATTTAAAAGCTTCACCTGCAGAACTTCTTTATGGATCCACTCTTCGTATTCCTGGAGAATTTTTCATTGAAGAAGATTTTCCTGCAGATCCTGAAATCTTTCTTAAAAAACACAGGATTCATATGAGGAATATCAGATCATCTCCTACAAGTCATCATTGCAAAAGATCACCTTTTGTTCACAAGAATCTTTTTGATTGTACTCATGTTTGGATTCGAGAAGATACTGTTAGGAAGTCACTACAACCTCCTTATTCTGGCCCTTTTCCTATTGAGAAACGTATCTCTGATCATTTATTTGCAGTTAATGTTTCAGGAAGAGTTGTCAATATTTCGACAGAACGTCTCAAGCCAGCCTTCATTCCTAGAACTTCAGATTCTACTGAACTTTCTACCAGATCTTCAGCTCCTGTTCCTGCTATTTCAACTCCTGTTCCTGCTATTTCAACTCCTGTTCCTGCTACTTCAGCTCCTGTTCCTGCTACTTCAGCTCCTGTTTCTGCTACTTCAAATCCTTCTTCTTCTGCTACTGTTGGAAAAGCTTTACGCACCTACCCACCAAAGAAGAAGAAAGTCCATTTCGCAACGAATATCGTCACTTGGGGGGGAGTACTGTAGCATTCATCATCCACACCTTTCATTTACACTCTACACTTTTATTACACCTTACACTTTTCACTGCACTTTTACACTTTTTACATCTTTATACATTTGTAATAACTTCAATTCATTAATATACATAATGTTTTTAAGAAAAATCAATATTTCCATAACAACACATTCATCATTTATTTGTTACATATTAATTCTTTTTGTTCTTTCGCTTTATACTTTCAATGAATAAACATTACTTTTTCAAAGATCTGGTGAATTTATTTATAAGTCGCTACAACACCACCACCGACACTCGAGACAGGCGCGCGTATGGGATCCACTCCGTAGACCGGAGTGGGCCCATCCCGCCCCCCAAGCTCTGACCTAATAGCGGCCACCACCGAAAGCGATATGTCGTCCCTCAAGTCCCCGAAGCGACGATCCAGAAGGGACGACACATCAAGCGCCGTAAAAGGGCGATCCTCCGCAACCACAGCCCCAGATTCCTCCGCCAAACCAGGCGGGGACCTCTCAACAGAGGGCAGACGAAGCCGCTTCTTCCTTGCGCCCTTGTCCATGGCGCCTTTACCTGAAAAGTAAAATGCCTCGATGTCCGGAATCGCAGAGCGAACAAACGCAAGCTCCTCCGTGAGGCGCTCCACTTCGCGTTCCTGGGCCGAGATACGAATCCTCAGGCCCTGGTTCTCACTCCTGAGAACATCCATGCGAGGATCGGCCTCCGAAGAGGTCCTCGCCACGACTTCATCGAGGATGCCACCCAGCTTCCTTGAGGAGGCTATGAGCTCCTCGGCCATGAAATCTTCAAGGCCAGGGAGACCAGCCACCCTCTCCACTTGGGTGACAAATCTATCCGCCAGTTTCCGAAGCTCCACAGTAGTGGACCCCCGCAACTCTGCACGGTATACCACGTCCGGCGGAGCAACATCCTTGCCAATCGCAGTAAGAGTTGGTCCCAGGGAGGGGTCCAACACTCTACGCGCATACGCAAGCCTCAGCTCATCACGCTCAGCAGCTGCCAGGCGTTCCTTGGCTTGCGCAAGATTGACATATTCGCCCGTTGTTTTAGGGCGACCTCGCTTTTCCGCGCCGCACTTACCTGGAGGCTTCTTTCGGGGGTACTGCCTCCTGCCCATCAGCAACCTCTTATCTAATGGAGCCCAGGTCTTGTCCCTCTTACTTTCCTCATCCTCTGTGGAACTCGCCGATGGCAGAGATATAAAGGATGGCTCCCCTACATCCCGCTCCTCGTCCCCACTATCACCCCTCACCTTCTCCGGTGAAGGGAGAGGCTGAGAGTCACTCTCCTCTTCAACTGTTTCTCCAGTCAGTGATTCTGCGGTACTAACCGCGATCACAGGTTCGAAGAACTGCACACAAACATGTTTGGCGCAGAACCTCGTTTCACTACGCGAACACTCCCGGAAAAAGACGTCCATACATTTCGCGAGGTCCTTATATTCGTGATGAGCCTGATAGCTCCGAACCACTTTATTCAGAAGGACTCGGCGAATCTGCGCAGCAAGTTCCTTCTGGTCTACACTCCGGTCACGATTCCTCCAGCGTAACGCTAGATTACGCAACCGATCGCGCACAGCAGTCCACTCATTCCTCGGCACTGTAGCAGTCCAGTCTGCAGCCCCAGCCGGCAAAGCTGCAGACGACCTGTCGTACGATGACGACATGGAGGGAGCCAGGCCTACACCCCCCCCCACGCCGGTTCCCGGTACCCGAACCCGGGACGTTCTCTTCTTTTTCCGAACTCATCATGATACTGAAAAAGAAATTGGTTTTTTCTGTCAGGGGTTTTCCTTCCCCTTAGGAGGTTGCCTTACTCAGCTAACGGGGCCTCCCCCCCCGGGTGTTATCTTCGGTGTTTTCCTTCACCTAGTGCAGTGGACAAGTCCTTTTTAGGGCCTGCACGCCCATCACACCCCGTTCATCCATCACCACACACTCCAGCTCGGGTACCTCGGGATTGCGACACCCGTACACTACAGGGATGAGTCTGTAGTGCCCCTGAGGGAAGCATCTATATAACCTAGAACAAAACCCTAGGTCAACGTCGGGTTTTATTCTCAAATAGGAGGGGAGATGTAACGTCCAGACAAATTTCAAAATTTCAATCTTTTTCAAAAATTTATCCTTTAACATATTAGTCATGACAATCTCTAACCTACATGAAAGACCGGTATTAACAAATATTTAATCACATATAATTACTCATAAGTTAAAACATGTTTTCTCACAAATGACAATGGGAATAGCTACCCACTTTTAAGGGAGGGGTATGCTAATTTCGATGGAAAAAAGGCATGTTTTTACGATTTTTTTTTGGCGAAACAGATAATGTTACTTTATTTATTCAATTTCCATGTAATAATACAACATTTGAAGAGTAACTTGCTAAATTTTCATCGAAAAATATCGAAAAATACGCGAGTGACAACGAATTTCCGGAGGCGCTTCTAAAAAGTAGTTTGGCGGTGATCATTATAACTCGTAGTAGAATTATCTGAAACCAAAAAATAAAAATGGATTCGTTAAAGGAGATGTTTTTCGAGGTAACGCTGGGAGAAATTTTTTTTTATTTTTTAATTTTTAGTAGCACTTTGAAGCCAAAATTCTGATTTTTGGTGCAAAAAATCGAGTTATTTGTTTTTGTAAAATTAACAATTTTTAACAAATCAAAAAAAGCTCCCAGGAATACCTGGTAAATGTTGTTAAGAAGCAGTGTGCCAAATTTCAGAACAATTGATCGAGTAGATTTTGAGTTATCGTGATCACGAACTTCGAAAATGGCAAGTTTGAGAAAAACGCTTTAAACTTTTGCACACTAAAAATTTCGAAATAAAAGTCGATAGTTCTTTTATACTCACACAGAATCATCGATACCAGGTCCATACAGCAAGGCGTTTTCATCCAGAAGATCCAGAGCATCTTTTTGTGTTTGTCTCCGCGAAACTCTCCCTTCTTTACTGTTGTAGACCGCTTTCTCGTCTCCTCTAGTAATTCGCAAATCGTCAACTTGTCGCGCCCATTCGTGAGAACTAGGGCCTGTACCGATGTGCATCTCTTTCATGAAGGCCAACAGGGCAATAGAACCTTCATTAAAAGTACAAGCAGCTACATTAGCTGCAATTTGTACGGTTGTAGAGGTTCCACTGTATGCCTTTGGAGAGATTTTCCATATTAGCTGATTGAGGCTTTTGTTATTGTTTTGTGTAAAACCTCCAAGACATCGCTGCAACAGTGCGTCCTTGCTCAAGTCCTCATAAATGGGCTTCATGGCTTCCAGAACTTTAGAAGGAAGAGCTGCGTAGCTGTGTTTGAATGATTTTAGAGCATCTGCAGCTGCAGCTTTTTGCCACTCGCACCAGGAATCTTCGCCGCTCGGGCATTTCTCGTGCTGTGGGTTTTTGTCGTTTGAACTGTAGTGGTAGTATGTCGCCCATATATCATTTTTCATCTTCTGAACTGAATCGGAATTGCGTCGAATGGCCAATCCGTAGTAAACAGTTAATTTGTCTATCATTTTGCCTGTTAATTGTTCTTTTCCAGACAGGATTTTTTTTTTATGGTTTTTCCGGTTTTGGTCGTTGTAACAACTACTGTCTTGTTTACCAGATCACGCAGACGCGTTCCCATGCGTTTCTGCACATGTCCTACGCATTCCTTTTTATTTATTACAAAATCTTCACCATAAGGGTTTGCGTCAATAACGCCGCTGTACGTCTTCGAATCGCCATCTCCAATGTAATTACGATATTTCACCCCAAGAGTTTCCAAAGATCGTTGGAACATTTCTACGATTGCTGCTACCTCCATGTTTCCAGACGGTCCGACGTGGTTGGCTTTGCATTCTCCGCTACTAACATGTTCTTTGTGCCACTCTTCATATTCAGCAGTACTGGATTTATTTTCCCAAGTTTTACATCGTTGGCAGAAGCTGCTTTTTACTAAAATGTCAAATACTTTGCCAGTATGAAATCCAATGAGAGAAGCAACGCCAAATAACGAAGCAAACCCTCTTTTCTTCCATGTGCCGTCGCCTGATACAGTAACTTCTGTTGTTTCTTCTAAATTATGCGTTTTACACATTTCTTTTTTTTCTTCTTCTACGGCCGATGCAAAAAACTTCTTGGCAACATTTGTTGTATATTCACACATTTCATCTACATACTTATTATATACTCTTTTCGTTAAAAAAGCACTAGCCAAGTCCATTAGTCCACACAATTTATTGCACCCGGCTAAGCCTAAGCCTAATACTCGCATTGCAAAAGCGAATCTTAAATTGACATCGTATTTTCCAGAATCTATTCTTGTAGAAGATGGAATATAATGAGGCGATGCACAGCTTTTGCATGTCATTTTGATATTAAAACCGAGTCCTTCTTTTTTGCATGATGTGAAATTGACTTCTCCATCACACTTTTTACATTTCACTATAGTAGAGATTGTTGAAAAAACCAAAACAAAATCTACTATCCTATAATGTTTTTGGAGATCTTCTTCTATTTCAATAGCGGGACGATTTTTAATTTTTTTCGACGACGAGCTGCCAGCTGTTACTTCATCGTTTTTACGCTTTTGTGGCGGTATTATTTTTTTTACTCGGTTCAAATACTTTTTACCGTATTTACGATCATCTCTAGTCACTTTTCGAGGCATTTTTAATAATAATAAATACACTCAGTAACAGTTTAAACACAAACACAGTTCAAAATGCCCGAAAATTCAACGAACTCGAACGATAACAGTCAAATTTTTCGACTCACTTTCTACCGTTCAACACGACATACAGCGAGCAACTGATGTATATACCATGTTTTCAATGCACACAAGGCTGCCTAAAAAGACGCTTTCAGCAATAAAGGAATTTAGGGGTTACGAATGAATACAATAGCGTGCCACGACAGCGCGCCGCACACCGGTCAAGGAGGTAGAGAAATACGGCTCGGAGCAACGGTCCTTTAAACGTTCATAACTTCTTTACTTTTGCTCCGATCGACTTGAAATTTTGACTGAATATTCTTGAGATGTTGCGCATTCATTTAAAAAAATTAAAAAAAAATGCCCAAAAAATATTTTAAATAGCATACCCCCCCCCTTAAATAATATTTCCATCATAAAAAGCATAATTAACAAGGGTGCTCCGCTCCGGATCATTCGTTAGGAAACATACAAGTTAGAGAATAAGCACGCCTATAGCAAATATATTATTAACCTTAAAACTCTCATTCATTAATTAGGAGACTAAAAAATTCATATGCAATATAACATTATATCCGTCGTACGTTCGAAGGTACTACCAAATAAGGATATCATAGTTCAACCATGAATATATAGGTATTTTATCTTGATTATGATTTTTTCTATATTAAGCACCAATTTACATCTAGCTTGTGACGTGGTCTTTTGAGCCCGTCACAAGGGCGGACGCGCCCGGCCGGGAAGCGTCTGAGAGCGCTATATTATTTTGTGTCTCGTGCGGGTGAGCAGCGACCTTTTCGCTAGCTCGCCCGCACTCTGTATCGGGATCGAGGTGGTAGGCCAGGAGAACGGCCATTGTTTTAGGGAGAAGAGGACCCGGACAGGCGACGGAGGAACGACCTCGAAAGGGGAGGAGCAGAGACTGAGCGACCGGCCCGGTGAGTATTACGAACGATAACCTATACACGGTACCGAGAAAATAAGGAAGCGATACTGCAGAGAAACTCGTTACAGCTTCGATGGGACGAACAGGAGCAGTCCAGATCAGGGAGTAAAAGGCGCCTACATCCCTCGACAAGGATGATGCCCTGAGGGGCCCGCCACCACGCCTCGAGAGAAACACGGAGATCTAACGGGATTGATCACCCCGGAACGACTTCCCTCAGCCAAGAAAGGTCGTTTGGAACATCAGCATACGGCCATACGAGGTGTGGACGGGACCGCCGAAAATGGACCTGCTACATCATCGCTCCCGAGGGCTGGAATTTGAATTTGGCGGCGGAAGTCCGCGACCAGCCGCGAGACACCGGAATCGATACGAGGATCGATTCCGGGTCCGGCGCGGGGCGCAACGCTGCCGCGAAACCTGGCAACCGGGCCGGGGTGGCGCGCATTGTCTTCCCCCTCCCCACCAGCGTACCTGCCGAGGTCCCGCCGGCCCGAAAGGAAATCACTGTTCGGCAAGCCGGTGTCCTGCGAGCACACCCAGGGACAACGACCCACTACAGCCCACTGCGACGGCGAAATATTGTAAGGCCACCTCCTCGATCGTCCGGTAAGCGCGGATTCGGCAGAGATCCGTGAGTCATTAGAGAAATATAACGATACCGAGCAATTATGCTGTAAATAATTTAGTACCGAGAATTAGTGGAGAGACTCACGGAACTCACGTCGATTTCCGCGTCATTAAGTTATTGCGTAAATCTTTGCCTTCTTCGCCTCTCCGAGGGGCACCGAAACGAGTCGACAGTCATATCGTAGTATATTATATTTGTAGCATTGTATCGAGTCATTAATTAACGAAATTTGAGAATAAGTTACGCTGGATTGGTATATGATCCATTCGATTCCGAGCCGGTTACAAAGGGAGGAGAGTAACGATAACTAAAGATTTCGATAACACCCAGCGATCTCCCAACGGCTCGATAATAAAATTATAGCTACTTTGATTCACACCATTTATATACTATTAACTGAAAATATATTCTTATTTTATCCTATTTCTGAGTACAATCAATATCGAGATTTCCTCTCTCTCTCCGGGACTGCGATTCCGAATCTCCTTACGGAAAGAACCACGACACTCTACCCCTTGTTGATACCGAGCTACCGAGGCCGAGCCGTCGTGTCCGCTGATTATTAGTTGAGCTATTGTTGAGTGGTGCGGCCTGACCGCACCTGGCGCCCAAAAAGATACGATACCGAGCAATCAGTGATACCGAGCAAGTATCGAGAGAACGGAGAGCGGCACGACGAGGTTGCGCAGCAGTCTCTCTCGCCCTCTCTCTCTTAGTTTGACGAGAGAGGACGGAGAGGCGGTCGCAAATTTGGCGCCCAACGTGGGGCCTCTCGAAAGAGAGGATAATTAATAAAGGAGAATACGTGTCGTTTCGGGTAACGGAGAGACAGTAGGGTGAGAGAAATACTTCTCTTTTGTTTTTCTTTCCTTTTTCTTTGTCTATCGGGCGCTGACTTGAGTCTCGCCCGAGCCGGGGATCTCCGTCGGAGATTCTCCGAGTATTATTTGACTTAATACAGTCGATGACTTTTGTTTATTGCATGCATTTGTATTACTTTGTCCCCAATTATTATTGTTCCCGCGTTATTAAGATTGTTCCCATTGTGCTTGTCTCGATATCTCGAGACTTCCCGTCACAACGGGGGGGACTCGAATTTGAGGTGCCATCGCGTTAAGTGCACGAGTACGAAGGAGCGCTACGCGTATGACAGAGAGCGACCACCGACACGTTTCTTTGTCGCGCGCGGCATCGTAAACCCGACCGCGTAGTATAGTATTACAAAGGTAGCGCGCTCATACGCCTTTTACGACTTTCTTTGATATATCGAGTGAATTATAGGCACCTGATTGATACCGAGTTTTTCGTGTGATACAAAGTCGGCAAATATTCCTGTCCCAGTATGGGGAATAGTATTGGAAAGCGACGAATTTTTTTTTCTCTTCTTTCTTTCTTTCGATCTCTTCGCGGAAATATTTACCACTCGTCGAGCCGAGTCTAAAAGCGGGTAAACACGTATTGTTCTTGAAGGATTATCGCGTCCTCAGATATTATGGTCAAGATACCGAGAGCTAAGAACGAATATTGGTGAATAGATGTTTACGCGAATTCCCGAAATTCCTTAGCGAGACTCGACTCAGTAACGGACGTCCGTGTATACAAAGGAACATTTTTTTTTTTTCTCCCACCTCCTCGCATACGCTGCCTTTCGCGAACTTGTTAGTTTCTTTCTGTTTATCGAATTAGGAATAAGAATAGAATTTTTTTTTCTCTTCTTCTTCTCTCTTCTTCTCGCCCCTTCTTTATCTCCTCAAGAGATATTCGCGCCGAGTATTCACGCCTGTGAGTGACTTTCCTATTAACTAGGAATTTATAGAATATCGTTCGCGACATATTTTCGGGTTCTAGGAGGGGGGGTATCGTGACCGAGCGGCGTAATCAAGGATTGACGGTGTCTAATTTAGACAACGCTCACAAAGATACCGAGAAAGAGTTAGTTGGCGAGACAGTTGAGGGAGGGAGCGTACGTTTAGTCAATCCGGTCACGGTCCGCGTACTATCTATCTTCCCCTTCGAGATCTCATTTCCCTCACACCGTCACTAACCATAAAACGAAATGTCGACAAAAGAACAATTTCGGTGGATTCGAAAGTTATCAAAGGAGGAAGTGAGGTGTGCCCTCGCGGAGAGAAAGCTGTCCGTCAAAGGGATCCTCCCCACCCTTAGGGCTCGATTATTGAGATACGAGGCCGCGCAATTAATAGGGCGAGAGCATATGCCGACCCCTGAAATATCGGAAGCGTCAGACGAGGAGTCGGATACCGAGGAAGGTGCTGTCGGGGGCGAAGCCCTAGCGTGGTCCTCGAAACCGCGAATCAGGATACATCCCCCAGAGCCAACAGAGACGCACCCGGAGCCGCGGAGAAATCCCGAGCCGTATCGCCCTCGCGTAAAACCGAATTTCGCCGTGGACGCGTATAACGTAATGCGAAAGTGGAATTTAAATTTTTCCGGGGCACGCGACGGGGAGGCGGAGGCCTTCCTCATTCGTATAGAGCAGGGTCGGCAATTAATTCCCTTAGATGACGACGAAATATTTAAATGTCTGCCGTTCTTTTTATCGGGCACCGCGGCCCATTGGTTTCGTCTGAATCAACATCTTTGGCGTACCTGGGGGCAATTCGAGGCCGCGTGGCGTGCGCGAT